CACAAAAATTTAGCTCCAGACCTGGGCGGGCCATGGCCCGCTCGGCCTTGCAGAAGCTCTGCCAGTGATCTGTAGTACGTACTAAATATATGAAATGTGAAACTACTTATAATGAATCTAATGATATATGCTTATCATTCTAAATGTAAATGCTTTTGTCCAAAGATTTGAAAAGTATGTGAGGTTCGACCTACTATATGCACTACAGTACGGAACGGAAGGAGTATGAAAGATGGAAAGTGAACACACAAATTTTATTTTTTATTTCTCATATTTCACATATGTACGTGCATACATACATACGTACTATGATTTGTTGTAATCCGCGTATGTCGTGGTGTGTACCAAACAAAAGGTGGGAAGGAAACATAGAGGGATCAATCGATCGATCGGGTGACTTGGGAGTAGTTGTCGCGCCTGAAGCTTCGATGGCATGGTGATGCCGGTTTCAGCGTTGCTACCTCGAAAGCTTGCAGGGGACTGATGTACTACGTACTAAGCTGCCACAGTAGCAGGTGCTGCACTGTAAGATCGATACTCAAGAATGTTGTAACGCTTTGCTGTATCTGTTCCGCTAAAGTGAAATCAAGAACAGAGCTTGGCGACAACTAATTTGTTGCTATCTTCTACTCTCTTCGTCTCATAATATAATGTCAAAATAAAATTATTTTGCAGGTTGTTTTAGCTTGCAAAATGATCTTATATTATGGGATGGAGGGAGCACCGCTTTGGAGCGGATTGTCTGACTTTGAGTTGCCACATCATTGACTGAGTGACTTAGCCTCTCATCAACCATACAATCTTCACCAATGGCCTGCTTTACCTCTCACTTCCCACTCCAAGAACTGAAAATTTATGGAATGAAAAAAAAAGTGTTTTTTGCGAAATACTCTCTCTCTCTCTCTCTCAAACACACACACGCACACACACAATGCAGTGCGTATAGATTTTTCCAAAATCTAACTTTACAAATTTTAACGGAAGTTACAAAGAAAACTATTTATATCTATAGTACAGTGCTCACTAAATATATAAAATGTGAAACTACTTCTTATAATGAATCTAATAATATATGCTTATCATTCTAAATGTAAATGTTTTCTCCAAAGATTTGAAAAGTTTGTGAGGTTTGACTTACTATATGCACTACGGTATGGAACGGAGAGAGTATGAAAAATGAAAAGTGAAAACACAAATTTCATTTTTTTACTTCTCTTATTTCACAAAACCCACTTCTATTTCGTAAATGCCACTTTGCATCACACGTAAATTTCACTTTTTTTCACAAAACCATTTCTATTATGCAAATTTCACTCCTTGATGTAAGCTGTTGGACAGAGATTGCATGATGGGAGAGAGGGCTAAGTGTCAGCCAATCCATGCTAAAATTAAGGGATACTTTGTGTCATCAGACCACAAGATGGCAACATTTGGTTTGCTGATTCTTTTCTTTTGATAGTAGACAGGAACACTCTTGTGGGTCTGTGGATGGATGATGATACCACGGAGCAATATTTGATGGCAATACTCTACCGTTTTATCATCTCATGTAAAACTTAGTAAGGATAACAAATTATTCCATTCCATGATTTTGGTAATACGTTTTTCAGAAAAAGAAAGTTCCTTCTCAGATTTCATTTAACTGAAAACAAGTGATTTTTTGCTTACATAAATACAACAAAGCAATATTAAAATATGGTCTTAGCTCAACTATAGAAAAGATAGACATGGCAAACGCATGAAGACCAGCAACAAGACCCTTTCGTGGCTAGAAAGGGCAATATAAACATCAACAGGCTAGAGAGCTTCGATATTAAAGCTACAACAACCAATAGGCTAGAGAGCTTCGACATTAAAGCTATAGTTAATCAACAACATCATCTGGGTTTGGAGCATCAACAACTTTTCTTCAAACATATTTGATTCTCCTAGTATCAACATGCCATCTATGTACAATGCCAAACACTTCATTTGTTATTAGCTCAAACATTTTTGTTCCCTCTTCTCAATTTTGTCTCCACTTTAGAGCATTTTGGTTTTCTCCATTTTCTGCAATATAAACCAACGTGTCAGCCAATAGGTGTTTACAACCACCGCAGGATCAATTCAATCTGTTATAATCAAATATACCGTCATTTCTCAGTGTCTAGATAGTCCAAAAGACAACAGAAATACCCAGCGTCATTAAATGTTTATGTGCCTTTTTACATGCCATCCATGTACCTTGCGAAAAATAATTAATTTGCTATTAGCTCGAACATTTTTGTTCCCTCTTCTCAATTTTTCTCCACTAGAGCATTTTGGTTTTCTCCATTTTCTGCAATATAAACCAACGCGTCAGCCAATAGGTGTTTACAACCACCGCAGGATCAATTCAATCTGTTTTAATCAAATATACCGTCATTTCTCAGTGTCTAGATAGTCCAAAAGACAACAGAAATACCCAACGCCATTAAATGTTTATGTGCCTTTTTACATGCCATCCATGTACCTTGCGAAAATACTTAATTTTCTATTAGCTCGAACATTTTTGCTCCCTTTTCTCATGTTGTTTCCACTTCAAAGCATTTTAGTTTACTTGTTTTTTCTGAAATATAGACCAAGATGTCAACAAATAGCAAATCGTGTTTACAACCACCCCAGAATTATTCACTTTTCTTAATAAAATACAACACTATTTCTCAGTCGAAAGACAACAAAAACACACACCATCATCAAAAGTTCCTCCGCTTTCTTAAATCTAGGAAACGAATATGAAACATGTCATGCGAAGATTAAAAGCACACTTTAAGTTATTCCACACCAGTCTAGCTAATGAGCATTGAAGGAAAAATTGATCAGAAAATTCATCACACCCACTAAAAGGACATGCTTTGCTACCTTGCCATCCTTTTTAAACTCAATACAGTAATTTTCACAAATAATCACACTAAGACTTTTATCTTTAAATGAATTTTGGTATTCCACAATAACCTATGTGGGGAATTTATTCACATTAACTGCTAGTTGTCTATATAGCGACTTGACTGAGAGCATCTTATTCTTTGACAAGGACCATGTGACTGAATCATCCTGTCCAACCAGGATAATTTTAGCACAATCATCTTAAACACTCCCACATATCTAGGGTACCGCAACAAGGTACACTGAAATTGTATTCTCCCACCCTTTTTTGATGAAACATCAGCAATTGATATTTATTTCATTCGAAAATGTGGACCATATAGTCTACAATGAATGAGACATTAGAGAGGTTTATCCCCCATCCGCCAGGCTTCTCAAAACTGGGTGTTTCTTCCACTACCAACCTTAAACTTGTAGAAACTGGAAAACCTATTTTTTTTGTTTAAGCATCCAAACGAGAAGTAAGATTCTCCTGGTTTTCCTTTTACGGAAATAATAGAAACACCTTTATCGTTCATGTATTTCTCCGAATGAAAACCCATCTGATGTGGATAATTTCGCCATGATTTACATATAAGATACCGATTCAGCAAAACAAACTAGCATGACTGAAGAGGAAAATCTCTCTCTCTTTTTTGAAAATTAAATTTTTAACTAGAGATTTTTTTCAAATAGACAATATATAAGGTTTAGGTTTTTGGCACTTACATAATCATGTAGCAACAAATATTGGTGTCATGTGAATATTCAGAATGCATGGGCTTGCCATGTGCTGCCATCGCCCATTACCATTAGTTTATAACCGTGTGAGGTATCATGGGACTATCAATATCCCCAAGTACCCAATGCACGCCCCTGATGTCGAGAACCCCTTGGTTCTCAAACCCAAAAGCGTTGCACCACTGCTAAAGCGTCATGATATGCTGAACTCCCCCGAGTGTGAAGGAGCAGCTCGCCGGCACCCTCGAATCCTTGAGAGTGTGCTCGAAGGTAGAGAGGAACTCCACGGTGATGCTGCGGTATGTTGGGTAATGAAAGTCACTGAAAACTTACATCACGACATTGTTCGCAAGCCATGTGAAGTCACCGTGGAGCCCTTGGGACTCCAAGAACGCGTCACACTTTCACTTCGTGGGCGTCCCTCGGCTGTTCACTCGTTGAAAGTCCTTGTTGATAGCAGCCCGGAGGTTGTCCCCCTCGTTCCGGGCACGCTTGGAGCGCGAGCCCGTGGCCTTCTTCCCCGCGGCAATCACCGATGCCATCATTTTCTACACAAAACAAGAATAACAACATATGGGTATAGCAGCCGTTGGAGGGAGAGTGTATGGTGGATGAGAGGAATAGCCAACCAACAACTTAGAGCATGTCTTAACCGATCTCTTACAATTTAGAGGAGGAAACGACCTCTCATCTTTTAACTCCTTAAAGTTTTACTCCTCTAATGGTGGCCGGACCTAACCTATCCCTCAGGTTCTATTTTTCCGGTCACCAGGGCGGCGGCCGGCCGGCGGTGTGCTTCGCACAAGGCAGATGAGTTTTACTCGGGACTTGCCACCGATCCTTATGAATAAGAGAGTTGGGGTGGCTCTCATGACTTATGAACATTTTCTCCTCTGTAAAGGCTTTATGGATCGTGCAGCGAACTCCCAAAAAAGAGGAGTTCGATTTTTAAAGGATTCACCTGATATGACGCCCTCAAAGTCAGTAAATCCGCTCCGCCTAATTTTATTGATCATCCTTGCTGTTGTGCATCCCTTAACGCGTACGTACAGACTACAGAGGGAGCATTGATTATTCTCTTGATTGATTATTTCATGAAGTCGCGCGTGGCCTGCACGATGATACACTGATACGTGTCCACGTCGCCTCGTTTTATATATATACACACGAAATTCAGCTCCCATTTCATTTCGTAGCAGCTTCAACTTCAAGAGATGGAGATCCCTGACCAGGTCCGTACGTGCCAACCCTTTCTCTTTCTTTCAGCTCAAAGAATTCTTCTCCGGATCAAGTTTCTCGATGCAAATTTTGTCTGCTGATGAAATTGCTCGTTTGTTCGTGTGTAGACCAATCCCTGCGCGATCTGTCTCGCTGGCATGGACGCCGGCGGTGGTCACGCCATCTTCACGACGGAGTGCTCCCACACGTTCCACTTCAGCTGCATCTCCGCCAGCGTCTGCCCGCTCTGCAATGCGCCGCGGCGCGGCCTACCGTTCATACGACCCACACCACCTCCACCTCCGCCGCCTCCGCCGGTGCGGCCGCAGCCAGAGACTCATCCCGTTCCCTTCCGCCCGTGCACCATCCCTCTGCGGCAGTCACCTCCCGTGCATTTCATGCACGGTCGGCCACCGCCGCCGGCACCGCGACCGACATACTCGTGGCCACGCATTCCCACGCAGCAGCGACAGCCGCCGCCACGGCCCGTGCATTTCGTGCACGGTCAGCCACCGCCGCCGCCACCACCGCCACCGCCCATGCGTTCCGTGCCACCACCGCCACCGCCACCACCGCCCCCGCGTTTCGTGCCACCTCCACCACTGAGGTCGTTGTGGCCGCGCTTGCCCACACAACTACCTCCGCCACCTCCACCGCTGCCACCACCCGTGCGTATCAGGAAGGCTCAGCCACAATGCAGCTTCGACGACGACGAGCAGGTTGGTCCCGCCTCTGGGCCGCCAGCTGGCAACCGGTCACCAGCCGCTGCATCAAACGAAGCAGTTGTCGTCAAGACGCGCAGCGAGTACCCGGCCATCGCCAGGGATTTGTCCAGCGACAACTTCGCCGTGCTCATCCACGTCCATGCTCCTGGGATGACCGACATCACGGCAGCCGGTGGCGACGCGCCGCGCGCTCCGGTGGACCTTGTGACGGTTCTCGATGTCAGTCACAGTATGAGCGGGCAAAAGTTGACGCTGTTGAAGCAGGCCATGCGGTTCGTCATCGCCAATCTCGGCGCCGACGACCGCCTCTCCGTCGTGTCCTTCAACACGAAGGCGCGCCGGGTGACCAGGCTCATGCGCATGTCAGAGGTCGGGAAGGCCCTGTCCGTGAGCGCTGTGGAGTCCCTCACGGCGGGGGGCTGCACCGACATCGCCGAGGGGCTCCGTATGGCGGCCATGGTACTTGACCAGCGCCGGCACAGGAACGCCGTCTCGAGCGTCATGCTCCTCTCTGATGGCCAGGACAACTACATCATGATGAGGCACCAGGAGCCGTCCGGCGTCCAGGCCAACGACTACGAGGACCTCGTCCCGCCCACCTTCGCGCATACGGGCGCTGACGGCGAATTGTCAGCACCGATCCACACCTTCGGCTTCGGCAATGACCATGACGCGACCGCGATGCACGTCATCGCCGAGGCTACAGGCGGCACATTCTCGTTCGTCGAGAACGAGGCGGTGATCCAGGACGCGTTTGCACAATGCATTGGCGGGCTGCTCTCCGTCGTGGTCCAGGAGGCTCACATCGCCGTCGCGTGCGTGCACCCCAGGGTCCGTGTCATGTCGGTCAAGTCTGGCAGTTACGAGAGCCGCATCGGCGAGGACGGCCGCGCCGCCACGGTCTGGGTCGGGGAACTATACGCTGATGAGGAGAGGCGTTTCTTGCTGATCCTGACCGTGCCAAAAGCCGAAGCGACAGACGGTGACACCACCGCTCTGTTGAATGTGTCATTCAGCTGCAGGGACGCGGCGACCGGCATGGACGTGAACGTGTCGGCCAAGGATACACTGGTGGCGAGGCCGGAGCACGCCGCAGACGCGAAGCGGTCGGTGGAGGTTGAGCGGGAGCGCGTTCGGGTGGATGCGGCGGAGGACATCGCGGCGGCGAGGGCGGCAGCGGAGCGGGGCGAGCACCAGGAGGCGGTGGCGATACTCAAGAACCGGCAGCGTGCAGTGCAGATGTCAAAGGCGGCAAGCGATGGCGACCCCGTGACCATGGCGCTGGAGGCCGAGCTACAGGAGATGCGCGGGCGCGTGTCAAACCGGCAAAGCTACGCGCTGTCTGGTCGGGCGTACATGCTCGCCGGCATCAGCGCGCACCAGCACCAACGCGCTACCTCGAGGCAGATGAATCTGGTGGAGGAGATGCCGGTGGAAGCTATGGCCGCACCGGCGACGGCGCCGCCAGTGAAGTTGGGATCGAACGAGGCGACATTGTCGTACGCGACGCCGGCTATGCGCGCCATGCTGCTGCGCTCGCGTAGGGCACGGGAGGCATCGGCCGAGCAAGGACAGCAACTAGAAGCTGAAGAAGAATACACAGGAAGCTTTGAACACGGTCAGCCAACGCCACAATTGACATCGGCGTGTCCCCGCTTGCCCACGCAGCTACGTCCGCCACCTCCGCCGCCACCGCTGCCACCTGTGCGTATCAGGCATGCTCAGCCGTCTACGATTGTCTTTGACGACGACGAGCATGGTGGTCCGGCCTCTGGCGAGGCCGCCAGCTGACAACCGGTCACCAGCCGCCGCGTCGAACGAAGAAGTTGTCATCAAGATGCAGAGCGAGTACCCGGCCATCGCTAGGGATTCCGGATTCGTCCAGTGAAAAGTTCGCCATGCTCCTGCACGTCCAGGCTCCCGGGATGACCGACATCATGGCGGCTGGTGGCGATGCGCCGCGCGCGCCGGTGGACCTCGTGATGGTTCTCGACGTCGGTGGCAGCATGAGTGGATACAAGCTGGCACTGCTGAAGCAGGCCATGCGGTTCATCATCGCCAATCTTGGCCCCGACGACCGCCTCTCTGTCGTGTCCTTCTCCTCTGTGGCGCACCGCCGGACCAGGCTCACGCGCATGTCGGAGACCGGGAAGTCCCTGTCCGTGCGCGTCGTGCAGTCCCTCACGGCGGGCGGCGGCACCGACATCGCCGAGGGGCTCCGTATGGCAGCCATGGTACTCGACCAGCGTCGGCACAAAAACGCCATCTCTAGGGTCGTGCTCCTCTCCGACGGCCCGGGGTCATCCGGCGTCCGGGCCAACAACTACGAGGAGCTCGTCCCGCCCTCCTTCGCGCGCACGGGATCTGACGGCGAATGGTCAACGCCGATCCACACGTTTGGCTTCAGCAATGACCACGACGCGGCTGCAATGCATGTCATCGCCGAGGCGACGGGCGGCACGTTCTCGTTCATCGAGAACGAGGAGGTGATCAAGGACAGTTACAAGAGCCACATCAACAAGGACGGCGGCGCCGCCACGGTCTGGATCGGGGAACTCTACGCCGAGGAGGAGAGGAGTTTCTTGCTGTCTCTGGCCGTGCCAAGAGCTGAAGCAACAGACTCTGGTGAAAGTGGTGTTCAGCTACAGAAACGCGGCGACCGGCGCGGACGTGAGCGTGATCATGGCGCTGGAGGCCGAGCTGTGGGGGATGTGCGGGCGCGTGGCGAACCGGCAGAGATACACGCGGCCGGGTCATACATGCTTTAGTTAACAACATGTTCGATGCATGCATTCCATTGATCCAAACATCCCAGGCCTCCTCATTCTTTACTCGTCTTCGTCATTGGATGCCATCAAGTATTCTGGCCCAGATATCTCGATCATGACTTTTGTGTATGTTTTTTCAGGAAAAAAAAGCAGGGCTTTGTTGCGTATTTGTATTGATTTTCAAATAACAAATACAAAGTCAAGTGTTCAAAAGGAAAAAAAGAAACTATACAGACATGTGAATAAATAATATAGCTAGAGGAAAGAAGAGAAAAAAAAATACAAACAACAACAAAAGGGGGATACAAAATCCCTACTAAACAAGAGCATCAACCCAGGCTTCAAGGTTGGAAATTGTTTTTCTCGTGGCCCGGTGGACTAGCCACTCAAGCTGATTCTTGAATTTTCTTGTGCAAGTGTATAGGCTTGGAGGGATCCCTCTGAAAATCCAACCATTTCAGGTAGTTCAGATGGCCCAGGAAGCAAGGATGATGACCTCCAAAGAAAAAGGCAAGCCAATCTGAGTTTTCATATCATTGATATCCATTTGTATGGCGTGATATAGGGGCGCCCAGTTGGGACAAAGGTAGGACCAGCAAACCCTAGCGAAGGGGCAGCGAAAAAAGAGGTGATCTCTTGTTTCTTTCTTTTTTCGAAACGGAGGCAAAAGCTTTGCCTCATCTCATTAATAAAGAAGAAAAGAGTTGCCCGGTTAATATACGGAAAACCGGGCGAAAACCGTCACAAACCGTTGAGCGGCACACTCATAATCACACACCCACCTCACATAGAGTCTCGTCAACATCACACACCGGTGTCATCGTCATCACTTCTCCCCAACAGGCGTCATCACCTTCCCTAATCTCCGAGCAAGCGACTCCAACTTCTCCGAAGACAAATGTAGACCCAACCCATATCGTAGAGGCTATGTGAAACACAAGAAGCCCCGCGCCAAACTCAGCCACCCGCGCTAAGGACAGCACAACTCCGACTCTGAAAGATAGCTCCGAAGGAGAACTAGGCAAGGTTGGCGCCGCGGAAGACCACCGAACAGACCACCTGTTGCCTGTCATCGTCGCCACAGGGGCCCCGCCGCCACATCTCCGACTTCACCGCAACAAAACAACCCGAGGTAATCTGCCCACGAACACGCCGAAGAAGAGCCGACTATCACAACCATTGTCGCGTCTCCGACATCGCACACAACCATCATCATTGCCACGGGCCACCAACTTCCATCGGTCCCGCTTGATGATGCCTAGCTCCAAAGACGAAGCCCTCGAGAGGGGATACGATGCTAGAGCACCGTCATCGTCCGATCCCATGGATCTAAGGTTTCCCCCGAAGCTGCGAAGATTGGAGCTGAGAGTACCTCGACGATGCCAACAAGAAGGACACGACTCCTGAACGCGTCGCCATCGCCGGTTCCGGACACGCCGGAGACAAGCTTTCGCCTGGGTCAACCTCTCGAGCTCCGCACGTCATGCATCAGCAAGCCCTCCATCGAGCCACCGATGTCAAATCCGGCCGGATCTGACCACCCTCACCCTTCGCGACCTCCGAGCAGCAAATCCGCGCCGCCCCGCGCGCCCAGCACATCAACACTGCGTTGCCTCCACCCGGGCTGCCGCACTGCCCGAGCAGCAGCCGCCGACCACACCGCTGCACATCCTCACGATGACAGAACCAAGCCGTCGGGCACCTCGTGCCGCACCTCCCCGCACGGACGCACCGCGACCCGGCCGCACCCGCACCTCAAGCTTCATCTCCCGTCTGACCGCACCTTCCCAGCCAGAGCACCACCAGGCCAGGCCCGCGCCGGACCAGATCGGCCGCAACACGGGCGCCATCCCACGGTGCCAGGGCCGCCGCTGCAGGCCGGCCCCGCCCACACACCATCAGATCCGGGCGCGAGGGCCCCGGATCCGCCGCCCCCGCCGGAGGAGAGGGGCTTCAGCCCGCCGACGCCGAGCTCGCGACGACCATGCGTCGGCGCCGCACGAGCCAGCCACAAGGCGCCCGCCCCGTGAAGAAGAAGCCCCGCCGCCGCCGCTGTCACACGGGCTTTGCCCGGCGGCGCATCCGGGCGGCAGCGAGGGAGGTAGACGACGGAGAAAGGGCTGTCGGCGGTGGCTTGGGTCGCCGCCTGTGTCGCTCGTGCGGAGCGACGCGGGGGCCTGTCGCTTTATATTCTTATACTTGTTCACATGTTGTGATCTCTTGTTTCAAGCTCACGCAGATGACATAACACACAAGAGTATTCCTCCAGGAAGAAATTCTTGCGTTGTAACATGGCCCTGGTGCTTAGTCTGTTGTTAATGAGCACCCAGAATAAATATCTTATGCTTTAGTTCACATCATGTGTGCCAAACCTGTTTAGTAACTGGTAGAACATCATGCTCACACATGAGAATCTTGTATATGTTGTTGACTTTGTAAGTGTTGCACCTGCTGGACATTGCGACAAATCATGATCTGTGTGAAGGTCAATCTCCGTGACAATTTGGAGAAGATCATTAAAAATTGTGCGAATGCCACTTTTAGAGAGAGGTAGATGGAAAAGATCTTATAAATCATCCTGGCTCCATAACTGGCTAATAGAAATTTGATCAGTCTTGGCAAAGGAGTGCAGATGAGGCCAAATTTGATTATAAGGCTGACCATTCCAAGTATCAGTCCAGAATTGGGGGACGTACCATTGAGTACAGTGCAGTTGGCCATGTTTTTGTAGAACTTATGGAGCATCTTCATCAGCAGACTATTGTTTTGTAACTGCAAATTGAGGATCCGTAATCCACCCTGCTCTTTAGGTTTGCATACCAGCTCCCATGCCGCGGCCAAGGGAGGATTCTTTATTTCCAAATCTTTCCCTCTTCAAAACAAATGTCTCCTATATTTGTCAACTTAAGTAATAATGCCTTTGTAAAAAGAAGAAAACTCATAAGGAAGGTGGGTAATGAAGATAGGACATCATTGACCATCAGCAGCCTCCATCATAACAAAGGTAGTCAGAGCACGCACTGAGTCTGTTTTGAATTCTCTCAATAATATACATGAAGTGTCCTATTCTGGGCTTTGTTACGCTGAGAGGAGCTCCCTGGTAGGTGAAGTGGGATTGAACTATAGAGCACTCCAGAATGCCAGTCCGAGCATGAACCTCCTCTTCTGATACTCCCTCCGTTTTTTTTAGTTTGCATACAAAGTCAAACTTTGTAAAATTTGACTAACTTTATAGAAAAAAATACCAACATCTACAATACAAAAGTTATATGTTATGAAAATTAATTCCATAATGCATCTAATAACTTTGATTTCATAGCGTGAATGCTGATATCTTTTCTTATAATGCTAGTCAAATTTTACAAAGTTTGACTTTTGTGTAGACTAAAAAAACGGAGGGAGTACATGTATAGGAATCAGGTTTGATTTGTCATAATTTGCTTTTGAGCCCAGGAGCTCTAGAGAAGGAATCAATTAGGAGATTAAGCTGGGAATTTACATTTCGTTTGCTCGTTGTGTGTTAGCACAAAGTCATTTCCGCGAACATGTCGTGTAAATTCCAGCTCCGGATAATGCCTTCACCAAAAACAATGGGAATGATAACCTCAGTTTCATCGACCGTCCCTGTCGTTCTCCACTTTGTCTAACGCGGTGAGGTCGTCAATGGCTTACAGCCAAAGGAGACGACGTACTGAATGACCATATTTCTTCCGCGAAGTTCACATTATTTAGGCGTTTGGGTCGGGGTCAAGCACCACGAACGTGACCTCCACGCCGGAAATTAACAGTGTTAGTCCTTCCCGACGAAGCATCTGCCTCGTTTTATGTCGCCGCTGCCCTGCTAACTTGTTCGTACCAATTTTCTCAGCAGCCTGCGGTTGCAGTTGCAGAGATGGAAGGCACTGACCAGGTAATCAAATGAATCGTTTCTCCGTTTAATTTTGCTACGGATAGCCAATTGATATGTGTAAATAAACTCGGTTCGTCGTTTAGATTTTAATCTAGATACAGATGGCAAAATTA